GGACCATATCACTAGTGGTCTCTGAGAGGAGTTAAACAATATGAGGACATAATGTTTTATATTCAAATACTTATTCATATTTTGTAGTTACCGTCCATTTATGACAAATGAGATTGGTCTTCCATTTATGGTCATCATATACATTTGCCCATTAAAACATACTTATTTAGGAAGATAAAAGTTTAAAGAAAAATGGAATAAATAGTAGAGGTAGGATTCAGGTTTGGCAAAAATCATGAAGGATGATTTCAGAAACTTCTGAGGTTTCTATTTGGTGGCGTCATAGTGGGTTTACTCTGGTGTCATCTGAACTTCCAGAGGACCCTGGAAATGACCTCTTCTCAGCCTTTCTAAATCTGATCAGATGGTTCTGATCAAACAAGAAGGCCGTTTGTTGAGTCTCTGCTATGATGAGTTGTCCCCTCCCTGCTGCCAATCAAAACTACACCAGATATCGTCTTTGTCCGGCTCTAAGTGTAGGAATTTTAGTGCTAAATCCATTCATTTATTCAGCATCCATTTTCAGCAAACATTATGTGCCAATTAGCAGGCATAGACCATACTCCACTCACTCCCAGAGTGTAAAGAATCCCCAGCACCCAAGGATAAGCCAGCCTGTCTGATGTAATAGAGTACCAGATTTGGAGTCAGACCAGGTTCCATAAGTAACTCGCTATGTAATCACGAGTAGGTCCCTTCATTTCTGCAGTATCTTTTTTCCTGACACTGTTTCCCCCCCGCCAAAAAAAACCAAGTACTTATTTTTCTATACCAATTCTTCAATTCTTCAACATCAATTGGGTATCCAACAATTCAATTCAAGGGCTCAGTCCCATAAGACTGCCCCCACTTCAGATGCCCCTGCCCACGAGGTTCCCAGGCTACCTTCACTTCACCCAGAAGACCAAAAATTTGGGGGTTCCCATGACAGCCTTCTCAGGTGTGATAATTCTCTAGAACAACTCACAGAAATCAAGAAAGCACTCTACTTACTATGGCAAATTTATTATAAAGGACAACTCAGGAACAGCCAAACCAGAGGAGAGGCCTATTGGGGGTAGGGTGGTACAGATTTCCATGCCCTCTCCAGAGTGGTGCTATGCTCACAGAATGTCAAGGTTTTGGAGCTCTTATGGAGAGCTCATTATATATGACATGGCCACTGGAGATTCAATGTGATCTCCAGCCTCTCTCCCCTCCCAAGTGAGGAGACGGGGAGGGTTAGGGAAGAGGACATAACTGGGGTAGGGGGTAAAAAGTTTCAAACCTCTAATAACAAGGTTGTTTCCTCTTGTTACTAGCTATCTAGATATTTGAAGCTATCCATCACCCTCCTCACAAAGAGTCACCTCACTGGCACCAATTCAGGGTCAGCAGTGAATAGGGGCTCATTAGGAATAACAAATGATGCTCTTATCGCTCAGAAAATTCCAAGGGTATTTAGAGCTCTGTGTCAGGAACTCTAGACATAGACCAAATATATATGTGTGTGATCATACACATATATACTGTACCTTCTCTGAGTCTGTCTTCTGGTTACAAAAAGAGAATATTTAACTGGACGAGAGGACCATAGATCATATCTAGCTTGCACTGTATTTTAATTTTAATTTTTTAAAGTTTATTTATTTTTGAGAGACTGGGGACTCAATCCCACACAAACCATGAGATCATGACCTGAGCCAAAATCAAGAGCCAGACGCTCAACTGACTGAGCCACCCAGGCGCCCTAAAAACATTCATCACAAAAATAATCCAGATCTCTGATCTCTCTTGAAAATCAGAAGATTTAACAACACTGGGACAGCATTCCCAAATGGCAATATCTGTCTCACACCTTTAAAAGGGCTTTTCTATTTGCCATGGTTCCTACCACCCCCACCTACCTCACCTCACCCAGTGTTACCGGTTGGACCCCTGCATTCTAAAGTCCTTTCAAACCCCCGAACCTATGATACTAGAAGAATTAGGTTCCTGTTGACTAGAAGCTCCTTGAGGATGGGACTGTAACTGGTTCTAGGTACATATTTGAAGCATCCTTGCTGCACAGTACATTTCTCCAATTAGGGGATGCCTCACTGTGGCATGAACAGACAGGAAATGAGAAATAACTCTGCAAAAATAAGTGATAAGGAATGAAAAAGGCAGAAAGGTTTTTGGTTCCTAGAAACCATATCCCTAATGGGTCTCTAGGGGTTAAGCACAGCCCAGGAAGGCAGCGGTCTCTGGTAGTGTACTACTTTCCAATTTAAAGAAAATAATTAGAGTCAAGAGCTGGTTGAGATGAGCAGTACAAACACAGGAGATGCCAGGGAAGGCAGGTGCTACAAATGGAGAAAAAGTTATAAACATTTATTAAAGAAAATTCTATTATTAGTTAGAAAACTTTAGGGACACCTGGGTGATTCAGTCAGTTAAGTGTTTGGCTCTTGATTTTGGCTCAGGTCATGATCTCATGGTTTGTGTGGGACTGAGCCCACAGTCAGGCTTCTTGCTGACAGCGTGGAGCTTCCTTGGGATTCTCTCTCTTCCTCTCTCTGCCCCTCTCATTTGCACACGTGCTCTCTCTCTCAAAATAAAAAAAAATAAACTTAAAAAATAAAACTTTAACATCATCCCATTTCAAACTCTTTATCTTCAAAGTTATAAATAAGAAAAAGGCAAACTGTCTACTCAGCTAAATATAATAATAGTGAAGTTAAGAGAATAGATTTTAGGTCATGCAGACCCAGAACTTATTCATTAACAATGTGACCTTGAGAAAATCAACTTCCTAATCTGTTAAATGGGGATATAAGACCTGGTAATTTTAATTCCATGCATATTTAATTCAATGCATACTATATATTCAATGTAGACATTGAATTAGATGCTGAGGATGCAGCAGTGAACAAGATAGGGATGGAGAGACGATAACCAAGCGAATAAATACATGAGATAATTCTTCTGAAAGAATAAATAAGTACAGTAGAGTAAAAATAAGTGTTGTCAAAGTCACTGAAGTGTGGTGGTAGAGGGCTGGTAGAGATGGGATGTCAGGGAAGGTGGCATTTGAGCTGAAATATAAATGAGCAAAGAGGGGGACGCCTGGGTGGCTCAGTTGGTTGAGTCCAATTTCAGCTCAGGTCATGATCTTCCAGTCCGTGGGGGTCAAGCCCCACACAGGACTCTGTGCTGACAGCTTAGAGCCTGTAGCCTGCTTCAGATCCGGTGCCTCCCTCTCTCTCTGCCCCTCCCATATATATATATATATAATATATATATTATATATATATATATGCTTTCTATAAAATAAAGGCTCCCAAGAAGATTCAGGCTCTGGCATCATGAGGAGATTCCACAGCTCTGAATCATGCACCCAAGTCAGGTAGAAGCAGCAACCCAGCCTCACCCCTATTTCCAGCTCAATTTCTTCCTCAGGAGCAACACCATATAGAATTATTTTAACTCATGAAACCCATAATCCCTTCATTGGAAACCTGGAACTTGGAAAAGCCTCTTAATTTTACTTAATTGATAGGCACACGTGGACCTGAGGTCCTCATTATTCCCATCAGTTTCTCTTTGGAGTTGTGTGCCTGTCTGGTCCAATTGTTTTAAGGGGTCTCGGGTTACTAAGAGTAAGTGGTCAAGAATAAAAATGCAGAAATGTACACAAAAAGCTTCTGGTTGCATGATGAATCTCATAACTTGCTAATGGAAGTTCAACAACACATTATAGGCATGGAAGTTCAACAACACATTACAGGCATTTAAGGGTTGGTCAAAATCTTGCTTGACTCTTGGGACAGTTCCATCAGCTGATAGTTTTTGATAAGATTAGTTGAGCACCTGCTACATGCCACACATTGTGTTGAGGAACTTCAAAGGCTTTATTAGTCCCTTTAATATTCCCAAAGTGTCCATGAAGTGGTTTCCCTTCACAGTTAGTCCCCCTTCACAGATAAGAAAACTGACATTCAAACAGTTAGTAAATGACAGTGCTGGGATTTAAAATCCAGATCTGATCCTGCTCCCCAACCCCCCAAGACCTAGCTTTTTAAACCACTTAGTGGTTGGTCTCCCAAAGTCAGAGGAAAATACCGCTGAGGGATGCCTTTCTATCCATTTGGGCACCTCCGCCCTGGAGATCATCCTCAACCAAGAAGCTCCCACACAGGAAAGACTGCCTCATCAGAGCAAGAAGCAAGCCCCACCCTGGACACACACACCTGGTATCAGCACTCCCAAATCCACCCAGATGGCCCCCGAGCCCCTGGAGGGGTGTCTCCATTGCCCAGCAGGATAGGAAACCTCCTTCCATTCCTGAAGACCTCCGGGCCTCCCTCGGCCCCCTGCCCCAAATTTCAAGACAGGAACGGCTATACAATTTGCAGGACCCAGTGCCAAATGAAAATGTGGGGTCCCTTGTTAAAAACAAAACAAAACAAAACAACAAGAAACAAGAATTTCAAGAATGTGAGGGTAGAGCATTAAACCAAACCCTAGGGCGCCTCTTCTGCGACTGCACTGGTCACTTGTTCATAAAGCCGGCCCTCCTTCAGAGATACCTTGTCAGTGAAGAGACTGGTTACCTCAGTCAGAATCCCCAAATCCTTGGACCTGGGGTGGAGGTGGGAGGTACGTAGGACACCCAGCTTCCCAAGATATCCTAGAACCTACCCTGGGACAACCTTCGAAAATTTCAAGGCACTTCTCCCGGGTTGGGCACAAAGTCCCCTCGCACCCCTCTGGTCTCTGGGTGGTCCTTAAGACCCCGCCCCAGCTCCACCTTCGGAGTGTGTGGGCCTCACCGCGTGCGGCCCATTGCCGGGGCAACCGACGCCGCGAGAGATGCATTGTGGTCCGCAACAAAATGCAGGAGAAAGATCCTGAGGGAACCATTGAGGTCATGGACCAATGGGAGAGTCCTGGGGACTGCGTCAAGCCAATGGGGACGTTCGGTGGGGGGCGGGGCCGGCGGGAGCAGGGCGGGGCCTAGGCACTAGGCGGCGGCGGCTGGCGTGGGGCTCCTTAGATGCGCCACGGCTTCGGTAGCGACGGTAGCTTCAGGCGGGTGTGAGCGTCGTCAGCCCCTCCCCCAGGAGACTGTTGCAGTTGGCCACCCCCTGCTCCTCGGTGAGGGACTCTCGGGGCCTACAGTGGGCTTCCTCGCCTGGTTACATCCCCCGACGGACTTCTCTCGCCGTTCGGTCTTCGCGGCCCGCGCTTTCTGAGAAGTGGGGTGGGGGGCGGGAGGAATGGGCTGGGGGAGCTGGCGCTTCAGGCGCATCCAGCACCCCAACTTATTACCCCTTGCCCGGGCCTCGCCCCCCAGGTAACCATGTGTGACCGAAAGGCCGTGATCAAAAATGCCGACATGTCGGAGGAGATGCAACAGGACTCGGTGGAGTGTGCGACTCAGGCGTTGGAGAAATACAACATAGAGAAGGACATTGCGGCCCATATTAAGAAGGTGAGGACGGGGTGCGGGCGGGGGGCTCGGGCCGTTTGCGCCCAGCTGGGGCGAGTTACAACTTAGCCCTTCTCCCCGGTGCTGCGTCCCCAGAGCGCTTGGCAGAGGTCCTTGGAGGCACGCAGGGCAGCTCGGTGTAGAGGGTTCCAGAAAGGACGCAGATGAATTCTGCGCTCCTGATGAGAAGACCAGACCCTCGGCGCCCGAAGTTTTTTTATTACCCAGCTCCGCGGGGGGAAAGCGCCACCTAGCAACGGTTTCTAGGATCGGGGAGCAGCGGTTCCCCTTTCTGCAGGATTCCTGCGCGGAGGATCCATCTGGGTGTTCCGGAGGGGGCGGGGGCGGCTGCGTGGGTGTTTCCAGCCTGGTCGGAGGGACGTGTTGCCAGCCTTCCAGTGGGGAGTTCAGTCGGCAGCTGAGGAAAAGTGGGTGGTAGTGGTGGTTAGGGTGCTGGGGCGAGGGCTTGGTAAATAGCATTCTGTAGAAAGCTGGCAGGACTGCCAATTTCTCCGAGCTGTGTTTTCTGGAAGGGAAGGAAGCTGGCAGCCTAAGCCGTGGGAGGGTTCCCAGTTGAGAATACGGAGATGAGAGACTTGAGATGGAACAGAAATACCTTTTTTGACCAACTCAGCAGTACGTTCATCTAGCTTGTAAGAATATTACTCCAGTAGATCTGAAAGATGTTCATACTGCACACCCTATATGAGAGCCGAATTTTGTGTAACTCAACACAGAATTGTAAGAATTTTACAGAGAAAGGTTAGCTTTGGCACTTGCCTTACAGTCACCTAAGCAAAGAAATTATCACGGGCGTTCTAGTCCTCAGCCCCCTGGGGTGCGGGGAAAATAGGGAAAGTTGTTTCTGCAATTTGCCATCTTTGTGTACCAGGTGGTAGGTAGATGGGCATCATCAGGATAGATGTGGAAGAGAGGGCTATTGAAATTATCATGAAGGATAAAATCTGACCAGGTGGCTGTCAGATTCTGCTTCTAGCATTCTTTCTGTAGGATCAGTGGATTGCAAAGGATTTTGCCCCTTTTTAAATTTTGATCCACAGAGGTTTAGATGCTAATTGAGGCTTTGCCCTTTTGGACCTCTTTTGTTTTCATGGATTCTGGAGTGCAGTTAAGGAATAGGGTATTTTCAGCTAACTATTGACCGTTTGGATTTTGTGGTGTGTGACCTACAGTAGGATATCACTTGTTCTGTTTACACATGACATAAACTGGAACTGTTCTCTCCTGCTGTTAATTAACAATATCATAAAAGATACGAAGGTGAAATTACTGTGATAACAAAGCGCCCTTTGAGGCTGCCCTTTCTGCCTTCTACCTCCCCAACCCCCATTCTCAGCTTAGCTCAGACTGCAAGTATGTTTGCATTAATGCACTATGTAGGCGACTTGGAGCTGGGGAACATTCTTTCATGCTAAGAATTTGCAGATGCTAACGTTCCTCCTTTCTGCTCCTACAGGCTCTGCTAATCTAGGAGGCAAACTCTGACCTCTGGTTTAGCACTGAAATTCTAGTGTGTTCTCTTTTTCTTCTCCCCTCTCCCCCCACCAGGAGTTTGACAAGAAGTACAACCCCACCTGGCACTGCATCGTGGGGAGGAACTTCGGTAGTTACGTGACACATGAAACCAAACACTTCATCTACTTCTACCTGGGCCAAGTGGCCATTCTTCTGTTCAAATCTGGTTAATCGCATGGACTGTGTCACACACCCAGTGATCCATCCAAAAACAGGGACTGCAGCCTAAATTCCAAATACCAGAGACTGAAATCTTCAGCCTTGCCTAGGGGAACACCTTGATCTTTGAACCTTTTATTGTGTTGTTTTGTACAGGGCATTCTCTGTACGAATTTGTTGTGGTTATAAAACAATTAGCAAAACAGCTTACATTTGTATTTATTTTCTATTCCATACCTCTTATCCCATGTTTTTCCTCCTCAAAATCCATTCCTTTCAAAAAATAAATCTGTTGGAGAAGTATGTGTTAGTTACGATTTGTTCAAATCTAGGGTTGAAAATGGCCTATCACTTGATCCTAAGTAGGTTAGTGGGGGTCAGGCCTTGAAGTTGGTTTCTGTGGGATTTAATAGACTGGCGTATTCCTCGTGCTCTTGAGTCTTTAATCTGTCCCCTCCTGCAGCTGTTGTGCATGGAAGAATAACTACTCAGAAGTGCATGTTGAGAAATGCATGGCAGAGAAACTTTCAGATTAAATCTTATGGCTAATCTGATAAATACTATCCTTAAATGTTCATTTTGTTAAAAGACACTGTAGAATGTTCTGGATCTCAGGCCTTGGGAGGTGATGATGAATGAATGTGTAGAACTTTATTGAAGCTTTCTGTGGCTGTAAAGCCAATTACAAAGTTGAGCTAATGAGAAATTTGCTGGGGTATGGGCTATCCACCCCTCCTTTCCTGCCTTGTCCCAAAAGGACGCTCAAAAGATTAAAAGTGGTCTTAAAAAGGAAAATGAAAGTTTCTGAGCAGCAGCCCTCCATGTGATTCTAATAAAGTCTTTGCAGGAATTTAAACATGTAAGCCTGCTGTGCTGTGCTTTAACTAGCTGTGCTTAGAAGCCCCATTAACAATTAAATGTGAATTGAGGCTTTCATTAAAAGACCCAATTAAAGCTGTGGATAAGTAACTTTCATTAAAGGTTTCCTGCTATCGATTTTAAGAAGACTTAAGTCTTTTCTATGAAGAAAAGCAAATACAGCAGACTTGGCTTTTGTAGGTATAAGGAAACATGCCAGAGGCTAAAACAACCCACACTCCTCTTGGAAGTTGCAAGAAAGGTCCTAGCTTTCTAGTTTCCCTAGGTTACTTTCAATGTTCTTGTGAAGTAAGGCTTTTTGTTTCACTTTGGATCTGTGAGATGCAATTAGGATTTCTGAGCAGCTGAGCTATTGCTGACACGGAAGGGGAGGATAGAGTTGAGAGGACTCCATTTTAAGAGCAGCATTAGGTTGTAGTATCTTTGGGAGAGGTTTTAAATCCGGAACTTGGGGTTTTAGGAATCATAGTGAAATTGAGCTATGTTAGGACTGGGAAAGTTTCAGGGTAAAGAGGCAAACTATTTTTCCTGTTTTATCGTAGTTAAGATGGGAGAATTTTCCCCTTGCTTGCCACAGGAAAGAAGGATGAGATTCTGTGGAACAGTACAACGGAGTTGATTTAGTTTTGTATTTATATAAACAGACTGAAGATGTTCCCATAATTCATTTTTCTTTTTTGTGACCTGGCTATATTTCAATTTGAAGTCTCTAAAGCTGTATCAATCTTGTATAGTTAGCCCTACTTCCAAATAGTCTTCCAGTAATAGACCCCAGAGCTGATTTAAGTCCACAAAGGGCTGGACGTTGGGGGTAGGGGTGTTCTAATTTGATCAGGCCCATATCTACTGCCTGAAAGTGGCAGCCTTCAACATTTTATTTTTAAATGTTTATTTTGAGAGAGAGGGTGCAGGGGAGGGGCAGAGAGAAAATCCCAGGCAGGCTCTGGGCTGTCAGCACACAGATGCAGGGCTTGATCCCATGAATGGAAAGATCAGGACCCAAGCCGAAATCAAGAGTCAGATGTTTAAATGACTGAGCCACACAGGTAGCCCTGTTTTTGATTCAGATGTGAGAAAACCACTTTGCCAGGGAAATAGAACTGGGTTGATGGTTTATGAAATTCCTTCCAGTTTCTGCCGCTTGTTAACTCTAATTTCAAAGGCTAAAGGGCTCCAGCTGGCTGAGAAAATGTAAACTGAAAGTTTTTCTAAGGGTTAGCACTTTGTCAAATGTTCTTTTGTTATTCTTTCAGATTGTTATATATAGATAGCTGTGTCTGAAAGCCTTTTTTTTTTTTAAGAGTACGTGCATGTGTGAATAGGGAAAGGGGAGAGAGAGAGAGAGAGAGAGAGAGAATCGCAAGCAGGCTCCATGCTGTCAGCTCGGAATCCAGGGTGGGGCCTGATCTCAGGTCATGTGAGATCATGACCTGAGCTGAAATGCTTAACTGACTGAGCCACCCAGGCACCCTTGAAAGCTTTTCAATAACAGGGCAAGATCTTGTGAGTGAAGGTACATAAATGATCCCTACTGGGCCAGACCAAAACACGGCATATATCTGAAGGCTTCTGAAATAGCCTCGAACTAATTAACCACAATAAGCACATGGCCAGCCAAGTCACAGGTTGCTTTCTGCAATTTCTTACTAAAGCTTCTTAAAAACCCTAAGCTTCATTCACTTCTCAATATTTATGGCCTCACTTTAACATCAAATGGACTGTACCCAGGAGACCAGTGCTGTGCCCAGCTCTGCTCCTTAGTACTGGGGGGTGTGGGGGTAGGAGGGGTAGGCTAGATAGTTTGAAAACTAATTTTTTTTGGCTGTAAAAGCCTTCAAATGTATTTTGATAAAGAAGCTCTGGAGGGGCACCTGGACGGCTCAGTCAGTTAAATGTCCGACTCTTAATTTTGGGTCAGGTCATGATCTCACGATTGTGAGCCGGAGCTCCGTGTTGGGCTTGATGCCGGGAGTGGAGCCTGCTTGGGATTCTCTCCCTCGGCTCCTCCCCCTCCTGCTCTCCTACTTGTGTGTGCAAGCGCGCTCTTTCTCTCAAAAAGAAAAAAAGCTCTCCATATAAAACACAAAAGCAGGGGGGCGCCTGGATGGCTCAGTCGACTGTTTGGCTTTAGCTCAGGTCATGATCTCACAGTTCGTGGGTTCGAGCTCTTGAGTCGGGCTCTGTGCTGACAGCTGGCTCAGAGGCTGGAGCCTGTTTCCGATTCTGTGTCTCCCTCTCTCTCTGACTCTCCCCTGCTCACGCTGTCTCTCTCTCAGAAATAAATAAAAAAACACAAAAGCAGGAGTTTGCTGGTACATTTATTCTTTCAACAAGGACTTGTTATTTTCTTCATGACAGGCACTGAGGATACAATGGTGGTTTTGGTGGAAGAGGACTGAGTGATGACAAAAATGTAGTTCCCTCACCAGCCCCTCCCCGAGAAGAAATAACAAATACCACACAAATTGTAAACGCCTTCCGTGGTTCACTTCATAATTCTAGGTGTGACTGTTAGCCTCTGGCTTGGGCTGGGTTTTTGGCCCCAGACTTAGTCCTAGGCTGAAAGGCTGACTCAGGTACAGCCAGGATATTTTCTGGTTCAAATCATCATTGGGTTCAAATGATTCATTATCCCTCTGGAAGGTAGCTCCAGCAGAGAAGCTACAAATGCACTTCAAAAATGAGAAGTAGTGCTGGCTTTACTTCAACCACACACTGCACAGCCAAGAAAAATTAGCAGGAGTTCAGCACAAAATATAGACCAAATACCTCTGGGAGAAGACCTGAAGCAGCTCAAAGTGACAAGAATCTGGTTCTACCACTTTGAGATTGGTCACCTGAGAACAAGAGTCCAAAGCACACCTCCTTAGGAGGAGATGGTCTGCTGCTGGTCTCACTTGCCAGAGTAGCCTTTACTTCCAGGCTTTTGACAGGATGTGACTGGTTCGCACTCCAGGACGGTAAAGGAGTTAGAGTTTGAAGCCAGAATGAATGGCCACAATACCTGATGTGAGACTTTCATAAGTCACCTTCTCAAAACCTGCACCCTCTATCATCTCTTTGAACTCCTCCTGAAACACAAAGAAAGATACAGCAAGGATCACCTGGATTTAAACTCTAGGGCCTTTGTTGTAAAATAATGGTTTTGTACCTGAGGTGGGAACTGTCGGATACTCTCTACGAGGTATTGGTAGGACTTCCAGTCTCCTGCGATGACTTCGCCCAGGACAGGAATGACCTGGAAGCTATACAGATCATAAAGCCTAAACAAAAGGACAAAAGATTAAGATAAGAACATGACCCCTGATAAGAAGCAAGACGTTTTAGGCCTACTGTCATAAATCCAAATGCCTTGTAGGGATCAGTACCTGAAATAAGTGCTCTGGGCCAGGTGCAAGACCTGGAGTAGTGAGGATGTGGTGACAAGGTACAATTAGGTGCAGTTAGGAAGTAGCATAAAAGAGAAGGCGCGGGGCACCTGGGTGGCTCAGTTGGTCCAGTGTCTGATTTCGGCTCAGGTCATGATCTCGCAGGTTCATGGGTTCGAGCCCTATGTCAGGCTCTCTGCTGTCAGTCTGGAGCCCGCTTTGGATCCTCTGTCCTCCTCTCTCTCTGCCCTCCCTCCACTTGCGTTCTCTCTCTGTCTTTCTTAAAATAAATAAACTTAAAAAAAAAAAAGTGGAGAAGGGGCAAATGGGGCAAATACTACCCAGCTCTGACTACTAGCATGTGGGAATAGGTGCTTACTCAGTGTTGCCATATATTTGATTCCTCAAGTGAAGCTGGAAATTCAGGTTTTCATGTAAAACTTCCTGATTTTTTACATGAACATCTAAGGCAATTTCTTAAAATGGGATGAGCCAAACAAAATATATCTGTGGGCCAACTTGAGCCTTTGAAACTCTTCCGGCTTTGGTGTTGTCATTCAGAACTGGCTGACCTCTGAGGTGGCACGGGGTCCCCTAGAGACTCAATGCTTCTCTCTTCCTAGCTATTTTCTATCCATTTGGGGATGGGAAAGCCTTGGCTAGACAATGAGAATTTGGCCCTGTTAACACTGCCAACCTGGATATGAGGGGATTGTTCACTTGGCTAAACTCCAGACAGAGAAACCGTCCTCCTGGCTTCAGGACTCGATGGGCTTCCTGCAGTGCCTGAGCAAGACAAGGAACAAGAGAAAATATTCCTCAGCAGAACTCGCTCAATTCCATGAGGCCAAGACAGCTTTAACTTTAGTGGGCATTATAAAAGTTAGCATTTCTCAGCTGGAGAGCTGTAGTAGCCGAAATAAGCCTATGCTATTCTAAATTTTTTGGCACAAAGAGAAGGTTACTTGGAGCATTTGGATTTATACAACCACATGGTTTCACAATTTATTAAAAGCTTATTTCAGAATTTTTTTCTTAATTTTTAAATGTTTCTTT